AACAACAGAGGCAACGCCAGCGAAAACACTACCCACTAGGTTCTTATAACGCATACGCCGCGTGGTACGTGCGCCAGCAGGTCAAACTTAAATATTTAATGAAGCGCTTAATGTGCAACTTCCCGTCCTCTCCCCACAACTTTAACCCTTAAGCACCCCTAATTGCCGAGACCCACTGTTGGCCAAACACCCCAAACGTCCCCACTTTGTTTTTGCCCTTCTTTGGTCAAGCTGGGGTAAAAAAACCTGCAAATATTTTCAACAAATTTTTGCCTAATGCAAAAAATATTTTATTGTGCTGCTGGCCTCTGAAAGGCGGGGCAGGTGGGTCTGTTCAGTACCATAAATTTGAGCTGGGGCAAAAACAGTGGAAAGTGGAATGGGGATTGGGGAAAGGGGCTTCTCTGGCCAAGCAGCCCCGAAATATTTGCGGCGGTCCTCTAAGCCCTGGCATGCGGTTTTCCAGGCATGTGCAGCATTTCAAGCAGCGCACTTCACACAGAGCCAAAACAATAATACACGCACACACACAGCCACAAAAGCACACACACACACACACACCCACACCCACACAACCACGATGGGGCAAACAAAGGACGCGAAGGCAGGCAGCCAAAGCCATTCAGTTTTTCGGACGCCCAGCGAAGGTAACTAGATGCAGGTGCTGGCTTAGTGATGTCATGATCTGGAACAACATCTGATTCAGGATATAAATAATTGGTCAGGAGGCGCGCAAAAGCTGAAAGACCGATGAGGAATTGTTAAAGAATTGGGAGCCGTTAAATGAATTCATTGAGGGCGAAAAAGTTGCAAAGCCTGACCAGAAATTTGATTATTTCATAGTGAATTATTTTATTAATAATATTTCAAGAGATTTAAGTCTTTAATCACATTTTTCTAAATAGATTTAATGCCTTTTTTCTGACCCATTTCGCAACAGCCACCTGACTTGGCCTACACTAAACTGCCTTTGGTGACAAAGCATTAAAACCTTTGTACGAGCCAGCTGGAAAGCGGGTTTCTCCTCTAAGCACGGCAAGAACAATGCCATGGAACAATGAAATACGCCCAGACAGGCCCAGATTCAGAGCTGGGAGCAGTCTGGAGCGCTTTCTCCATCCCTCACAATTCCTCTCTGGCGCACACCACTTGTATCCCATTAACGTTACCCATACGCCCCCCTGGCCGGCGATTTACTTATTTACATCAAAGCCCGAGTCAAGGTGTTTTGCACACGATGCAGCCTGCCTACCAATTACCCACTAAACTTGAGCCACCACCCATCCATCTGCTCCACCCACTCACCCTTAGCTCACACACACACACACGCACTTTAATGGGGATGCAATAAAGCGGGAGCCTTGCGACAGCAGTGGGCACAATAAACTTGCAAAAGTAACAAAATTCAGTTAACACGATGGCCAAGGCGACGAGCGTGGATGTCTGCGCTTTGGTTTTGCGCTTTTGGCGGTACTGCCCACATGTGGCCATAATTTTTAAGCGCCAAATGAGCGGCCATCCATTGGCCATGATGTCTGGCATTTGCCGTCGGTTGCCATTGCCGTTCGCCGTTTGGCATTGCCATTTGTCCTGGCCAGTGCGACATGAATACCTTTGGGTGTTTGCCAAATTGCGAAATGCTGTAGCCACCGGAAGTGCGAGGGAATGTGACGATATTCTAACCGTAGTTGGTGGCCTGCTTGGGACTAATAGCTGCACGTTAAAATTAACAACTTAATTGAGAAGGAACACATATAAATCGAACACTCCTTCGCTTCTTGGTGCAGAATTACATTATTCTTTATTTGGGCTCATTTCATTTAGATTTCTCAGCACGATTCATGACCTCTGCTCAACCAAATAATCAAAATCAACATTGGCAACCCTTTTTAGTTGGCCAAAGGCAAAGCCGATACAGCCAGCAGCAATTGTGAATAAATTGTTGAGTTGCAGGCTTGTCACGCACTCTGTGAACAAAATGTGAGCAGTTTTTGTCATTTTTCGCCAAATAATAATCAGATTTTTGGCCAAAACTTTGGAAATATTCGTCCAAATATCGAATGGCATATCTCGATGAACTTCTAATTAAACCCACTATTGATTTGGAATCAAATTTGGTAATTTTATTTTTTTGCGATTTTTTGCAAAATTTGATGATGTTACCCCTTACAAAAATTGCAAAAAAATAAAAAAATTTTTTTTTTTCTAATTCCGCCTAAAAGTGATAAAAATAATTGGCATTGATAAAGAGCTGTAAGAAAAAGTTTTTTTTATGCCCTTATGAACTGTTTTGGCGAAGTTATTTCGAATAGCCCCTCGAAAATTACGAATTTTAGCCAAAAGTAGTTTTTGACATTTTTCGTCAAATAATAATCAGATTTTTGGCCAAAACTTTGGAAATATTCGTCCAAATATCGAATGGCATATCTCGATGAACTTGTTATTAAATCCTCAATTAATTTGAGTTTAAATTTGGAAATTTTATTTTTTTTCGATTTTTTGCAAAATTTGATGATGTTACCCCTTATAAAAAATGCAAAAATTAAAAAAAAATAAAAATTTTTTAATACCCAAAAAAAGTGACACGGGTCGTTAGCATTAGTAATTAGCTGTACAAAACCGTTTTTGTTTTGTGCCTATGATCATTGTTGGCCAAGTTATGACAAAAACATCCATGTCATCGTTTGGCCAGTAAAATAAAACGGTCAAAAAGGCACCAAACGTTAAAATATACCAAAAACATTGGCCATAGTCAAAAAGTTGTAACATTGCTAATAAATAAACATCCAAAATAAAATGGCTAAACTGCGCTCGGATTTTGAGCAACAAATATGCAGTTGGCATAGGACGAGTTTCAATTGTAAATATTGCCACGTGTTTGAGTGCAAATAAATAGGGTAGCTGGCCAATTTGCCCGGCCAACATGCGACTGGAATGCATTTTAACCGAGACAGAAACGGGAACAGAAACCAATCGCATGTCGCACAAAGTGGCAGGGCACACATTTTGTCAAAATTCCCCCCAACACACAGACAAATGAAAGCCAAACAGAAAGGCGAAACAAAAACAGCGCAGATAAAGAGAAAAAGGTTGTTGGCGAAATGTGGGCGGTCTGGGCGGTCTGGGCGGAGAAACCACAATCGAGACCATTATCAATTACACGCACAGCAGGACACGGCGGCAGGACACGGGAGCAGAAACAGGAACAGAAAAACAGAAACAGGAAGATGGAAAACAGAGGGAAAAGTCGGAGGACGAGCAGCGCAAACGAAATGAAAATACGCATAAAATTGCAATTTACATCAAATCCATTTGCACCCATATGTACAAGCACGCACACACACCCACACACCCACAGACACACACACATTGTTGCCAAATAAAATTCATTCACACGCATAATGAAACTCGCTCTCTTTTCCTGGCTCTCTTCCCAGCAAATGCAGAGGGCTAACAAAAGGCATGCCGAAATAAGGACAACAATGTTTCGAAATAAACAAACAAATGCGACTGGACACCCGGGGCGGTGGTGGGTGGTGGGTGTTGTGTGCGGCATGGGCGGTACGGCAGCGGGGGTGTGGCAAGGGCGGGCGGTGGGTGGCAGCGATTGCTCTGATTAAGCAGCACACGCATTCAGCGCCGCTGGAGAGTTTTTCGGCCGGAGAAAAATCCACGCCCTATATGTAAATTATTAGCCAGGCTGCTTTTTGTCCGCCCAACTCGCGGCGACACAAGTCCCCTGGAGTTTCTCGCTAACAATTTGCGGGAAGCTGAGAAGTGGTGGCCGAAAAAACCCATGAGAGACACTAACAAACAAGAAAAAAGAGACACTTTCAAGCGGAAGAGTGAGTGTTGGGCGAAGGATGCTCTCGGTTTGTAGACTTTTGCCATGTGGCAGAAAGTAAAACGCCCTTTTGGAGTTGCAGATAAGAGAGTGTAGGGCTAAGAGAGTTTTTGTTATTTTCATTTTGACAAAAGAACAAGAATTATAAAATTAATAGAAAATAATAACATAAGAACCAGTTGTGGAATACATCGAGAAGGCGAGTACAGACATATCCTTTCCTGTCAAAATGCATTGCCTACTTAGCAGCGCTCTGCTGGAAAGTAGTGCCTACTTTCGGGCTTGCCCAAGAAATTACCAAACTTGAAGGCTGAGACTGCTTGGGAACCAAAGCCCATTGCTTGGTTACCAGCATGCCGTAGGACCTGCCACTCGAAGAGAGCGATAAAGGTCCTGTACCTCAGAGATTCAGTTCAGCTCTTCGATTTTGTCGCTTTGTGGCCCAGCATGCGCAGAGCGGCGCAGAGAGCGTTGGCGAGTGCCACACGGCCACATCCCGAGCAGCATCCACTCCAAAGGACCAGCGGCGGCGGCCCCAGCTGCGAAAAAGTCTGCCGTGCAGCGGCGGCCATCAGTAGTTGCCTCAGAGCCCGCGGGTTGAAGAAATCGTACGCATCGAGCGAGTGACAAGCGCCGCGTCTCACCAAACAAAGAAAAGCAAAAGCAGAGCCCCAAACAAGAAAAAGAAAAAAACAAAAAAAAAAACCAAAAAACCAAATAAAAAACAACAAAAAATCAAAACTTAAACAACAGTATAACGTAGAATACCTGCTACACTGACACAAAAACAGCGCCAGTCCAACGAATATTTTGTAGTAAGCCCCAAAAACAATCGCAACAAAATGCTGCCACGAATCGCAGGCAAATGAGCCCGCTAGCCATTGGCTCCCATCTGCGGCTGCTGCAGAGCAGCGAGTCCGAGCCCGGTCCCGCATCCGCACTCGCATCCGCTTCCGCATCCGCATCCACATCCGCATCCGCATCAGCCTCTCGCCGCGTCTCCCTGTGTGTGTGCCAGTGTTCAGCCGCAGCGGACCGCCAGCAATTGCAGTGTAAGGCGTCCGCCAATCGCATTCCAGCAAACTAATCTAAACGGCGCCGAGTGTCGCATCTGAAATTGAGTTTCGTTTCCGGTTCCGCCGCGCGTGCAGTGAAGTTCCGTTCCGTTCCGGTCCGGTCCGGTCAGGTCGGTGGATCGGTCGTCCGTTCAGGCAGTTTTTCCTGCTCAAAAATTGATGACAGCAGCAGCCCTGTAATGTAAGTCGCCACCTTCCCTGCAGCACGAGGCCCCCAAAATGTGTGCTACATGATTCCTGCTTAACTGTTGCTCCAAACTGCGGCAGCGTTCAACGCCCCAGCCAGGCAGACATACAAAAAGGCAGACAAGCAGACGAGCGGACGGACGGACAGGCAAACAGACGGACGGACAGGCGAACAGGCGAACAGGGGCATCGGAAATGTGTGTCAGTGTGCGAGCTCACTGTACTTCAGTATTGAGGCGAAGGCAAGCTCCGTGTTTATGCCAGACCCATGTCCTGATATCGCCGAGAAAGAAGCATCAAATGCGTGGAGCATTTTGGATAGATGTGTATCTACAGGAAGTGGCAGTGTGTTTGAGAACTGTGCCACTCAAATGTCAATAAATAATGGTCGTCCCTTCGCCTTATATTATCACTTTATAAGTTCTTGTATATACACATTTAGCTAAAAAGTTCAGTGAGTGCTAAAATGCTTTATCAAGCAGCCCATATGTTCCATTTGATGGATTTTAAATACTGAGATACATTTTAGAACGCCACATCGCTACCTATGAATGGTGCGTCTGCTAATTTAATCACAATTCAGTGACTCGTGTAAACAAATGTTGACTTCGCTAGGCTCACATGTCTGGGCTGCCTTTGCTTTGTGTTGATTTTCTCGTTTTATTATTACCTCAAACGTTTTTCTCGTTTGCTCTAATGAATACGCTCCGACCTGTTATCCCAGTTTCGCCAGTCGCCTCCTTCAGCTGCTTCCCCCACCCATTCCTGCCCCATCTACTTGCAGTCACCTGCCACCTGCAAGGTAGCACATTACCCATACGCCCCGTACGCCAGCCAACCAGCCAGCCAGCCAACCAGCCAGCCAGTCAGCCAGTCGGTCTGACAGACAGACAGACAGTCTCCTTCGGCTTGGTTTCCCTGCTTTTCTTTTCGCTTTTCGCTTTTCCTTTTTGTTTTCGTTGTTATTGTTTTTAACGCAAATTCCCACTTGCTTAGTTGCCTGTTCTGCCTTGTTTTTGTGTGCCATTGTCTTTGTCCTGACACACAAATGCTACTTTTTATATACATATCTATGTGCACGTATGTGTGTGTGCATTTATATACTATCCGGCAGCGCCATCGTCCTGTTGTTGCGCAAATATTTGCCTTTTTTGAAGTTGATTTTGGTCTCCGTCTGAGCGCCTTTTGTTGCCATCTCAAGTTCTCAAGTTCCGGAGCTCCGCCACCCCAAAAACATCCCACTCCGCGCCAATATGCTGATGAATCGTTGCTAAATTGAATATCGAGTGTTTATTTATATTGGCCGGCAAGTGTCACGCCCGCCAGCCAGTCAGCCACCAGCCACCAGCCACCCGTGTCCATTGAGTCCGGCAAACGAAGAGGAGCTCTGCAAATAATTTGAAATTGATGTATTATCTCGGAGGGAACGTGGCACAATTGTCTCAGTCAATGACCCGCTCGTCCTTTCATCCTGCTGCACGCTTAAGTAGTTTGTGCAGCGCAAACAAAATTAAGCAAGTTGCAAGTTGCTTGGACAAAAGTTGCCGTCACAATTGTTATTTTAGCGCTGCACAGTGGGATGGAAATTTGAGCAAACAATTTACAAAATAAACGAAGCGCTTGGCGGAAACTTGGGGGCAAGAGAACACTCCTCTTAAGCAGCAATCAATATACAAATGAATCATCTACAGTTTGTATCCAAATATTGTGTGCACTACAGATGGCAGCGAAATTCAGCGAAATGAAGCGAAATTCGATTGCAGTCAGCATGGAATTGCTTTGTCGCTGTGGACCAGAATTTATAGCATTCAATTTCCAGTTTCCGCTGTCTGGCTAAATATTTAAGCCAGCTCATTAGTCGCGATTCCCGCGGCGCGGAGCCGCACTTGGCCAGAACGTGCTATCGCATTCAATCCGGGCTTTAAGCGCCAACTCCCGAGTGCATTATGCGCTCCGCCATCTTTCCGCCAGAAATCTGGGCGAATCATTGTGGCCGGCGATGCACTTAGCCGACCCGCAGTGCCTACAAAAGAATACTACACCATCTCCTCCACGGCATTTTTATTTTTGAGCCAACTGCCCGCATTGCCGGCTGCCTGTTCCCAGTTCGCTGCTCCTTTATGCTCTGTGCTCCACGCACACACACAATGCGACTGCCGCACATGGAGGCACCCAGAGATGCCCGGAGATGGCCCAGAGATACGGGAGCATCGATGTCGCTCCTGGTGGTGTGGTGGTGGTGGTGGCTGCTGGCTGATGGACATTTGCTGGCAGCTCTTGTGCCTCCTCGGCTCCCTTCCTTTATGCGCCACAAATGAAAATGCAGACAGACAACGGGCGCCAGCCGACGACAGCAGCAGCAGCAACAGCAGCAGCAGCAGCAACAGCAGCAGCAACATTGGCAGCAACGTCTGACGATGACGTCGCATTTCTGGAGACAATGAAACAAACTGGACCCGGCACAGATCCCAGCCGAGTTCGTTGACAACTGTGTCTCGTCCTCGCCGCTCGTCCTTTTTGCCGTCCCCGCTTCTATTTGTTTAACATGCATTTGAATTATGAGCCAACTGAAAGGCATACTAAACCCAACAGCACACACACAAAATAACCAAACAACTTTGGCTTTAATTCATAATTATTTTTATGTCAGCGCACTCATTAGGAGTTGCAAGCTTTTCATTCCATTTCCATTTTCACTTCCAACTCCCAGCTGCCTGCTCCTCATCATCCATTTTTTACTGCCCACATTTATGCCATTTTGCCATTTCCCATTTCCCATTTTCCTTTTGCACTTTATCCCGGCTTTGTCATTTGCATTCCATATTTGGACTCCTTTTAGCATTTCAAATGTTCCCACTGCACATTTCGTTCATTTAAATGGCCCAACATTTTCTGCTCCGTTGTGCATTTTGTGACTTTTAATTGCAGTCCTCAATTACTGAATGGAATCAATAATAAATTGGGCGCCACATGAACTTTGCTCCTTTGCTGACTTTAAGAGCTGCCATTCAAGTTTGGCTTAAATCGGTATTGCCAAAGTTTGTGCAAACGAATTTCTTACGAAATCGAGCCCGTTCAGCGTTATTGCAATTTAACAACTGCAAAAAATATTTAATTTTCCTCTGGCAATTTGTCAACTGGGTGTGGCCCCTCAAAAGCCCAGACCAAGCCAGACTGAATCAGACCAGACCAGACCAGATACACACAGCCGGTCCATACACATACGATATATATATAAATTATCATTGCCAGCCAAAACTCAAATACGATAAATTGCCAGGCAACCGGGCAGCAGCCGCGGCAGCAGAGGAAAAAATCTATAATTTACACAAAATTCGTTTCCGCATCGGAACGCTTTTCCAATATAAATGGTTACCATTCCGATTTCGCATCGTTTATAACAAATTCGTGCTGATGCCGCCAGATATGGCCATAATCGCATCAGACTGGACCCCTGAACTGGCGACCTTAGCCAACTCTCGATAGGAAGTGTGCCAAATGGCCAGGAGACGGGGTCTAGTCCGCTACAAATTTGGCAACTGTTTTTGGTTAATTCCATTTGGGTGCTGGCAGCCGTTGCTGGGCTAATGGTATAATATTCATTATTATTCATTTTGCAGGCATGCCAACAGTCACACTCCCAACTTGATGCACTATTTTATTGCTTCTAAGTTAAATGTATTTGGTGGCTTTCTAAAGGTATCTTAGATATGATGGCTTTCTAAAGGTATCTTAGATATGATGGCTTTCTTAAGGTATCTTAGATATGATGGCTTTCTAAGGGTATTTTAAACCGACCCAAGTCGAGTATGATGGGTTTTTTAAACAGCCTCTAGACAGGAGTCTGTCAAGCTTCTTTCGGTTTCCAATTGACACCTTCCATTAACTTTTCGTCCTGTTTCTTTGGCCAATTCTTGCAGCGACAACAACATTGAAGACTGCTAACTGGAATTGCTTCGAACCATCACCATCACAAACGAAGAAACAACCACAACAAAGTGCTGCCAGCAACAAAACGTAATCAGGAATTTAAGCAAAACCAAAAAGAAACATCAGGGACAGCGAGGAAGACCCAGAGAGCATGTTCATGGAATTGTCATCGTTAGCGCGCAACTGACGCAACAGCTCAAGGCATGTGGCAACAGCAACAGCAGCAGCAACAGCAGCAGCAGCAGCAACACTGAGCGGCAGGAGCAGCATCTGGCAAGAGAAGCAACTAGGAGCAGGACAACCTCCGTGGACAGGTGGTGTGCTGCTGTAAAGCAGCACCATAGCTGCCATTAAAATAGACGCCGCGGCGCAACAGCAACGCTGCCGTCGTCACAATCAACGCCAGCGACAGCACCACCCGCATCATCGCCATCGCAGACGACGACGACGCAGCAGCAGCAGCAGCAACTGCAGCAGCAGCAACTGCAGCGGGCTGTTGGGCGCAGGGGGCGTGGCCGGCAGCTGCCCATTGCTCGCCACTCAGCAACTCATCGAGGAGCCGGGCAGCAGCAGCAACACTGGCGACGACGACGGCGGCGCAGCAGCAGCAACAACGCAGCAGCAACACTGCAACCTGCAACATCAGCAATCCGGTCGTCGGCGACGCTACGACGGCCTGTCATCGGTAGGCAATGCAACGCGCTGTGCAGCAACGGTAAGTGCAGTGAAAAAAATTACCTATGTACTGAGTAAATCGATTTGAGAGCTCCTTAAAAGTACGGAAAATATAATTTAGTCAGGTGTTGCACCTGCCCTTGCTATCAAGCATGCTAAAAATAAACCTTGGAGCACACCTTACACTTCAAGATAACACAGTTGCCATGAAAACGTTTTCATAATTGTCAATAATTTGCTGGGGAAGTTGGCCCTCAAGGAGCTGCGAAGATAGCCTCCGACGCGAAACTCAATTATCCCATCTTTACAAGTTACTTCCGAGAATTTCCCACGACCATTACGTGATCTCGTGTCAATCTCGCCAGCCGGAGCCTCCGTATCCGGAGGCCAATGGAAAATGTGAAAATGTGGAAAAGTGGAAATGTGAAAATGTGAAAATCTGTGCCTGCGACTCGGGCCTACGCCTGCCCATTAGCTGTCAGGTTAATGCACCCAAAATGTTAATAAAACACAAACACACAGCGGAGCATCGCACATATGAATTTATGATAAGCACACGCAGGGGGGCTAAAAAAAATATGTGGGGAGTGGCTGGGCCATCTGAATGGCAATGGACTGGGGAATTGGTATGGGAAACAGGCACTTTAAAGTTGCGACAGCGTGACGTGGGCAAACTTTCAGCGAGAGACGTGCTAATGAATTCCCCAGCACACTCTGTCTGTATTTGTATGTGTGAGTACTTGTATCTGCGTCTGTGGCTGTGGCTGTGTGCAGATATGTTGCCGTATCTGCGTGGCTCTGCCAGCGACAGTCGTATAATTTCTAATGCGATGCTTTTATGATCGCCGCACACACACAAACACTCTGGCGAAAAAACACCCACGGGTGCTGCCACGCACGTGTGCCAGCCTACTGCTAGGACGCATGTGTTGGTGTATCTGTGTGCTTGTGGAAATTAAAATGCATAAAAGGATAACAGCAGAGTTGTTGCCGTTGCTGCCAGCGACAAACCACAGGCGCGCATCGAAGCCGTGGGCTGTCAGCAACATTGTCATTGTAGGCGAATTTCGCCAGAGACTGCATCGACAAAAAAACAAAATGACGTGCAAAAAAACTAGGGAAACAAGGGTGGATTAAGCGAAAGCGAAAGCAAAAGCGCCTGACAAATTGTACTGCAGGGAAAATTGAGATTTTCGCGCTCATCAGCGACGCTGACAACAATGGCCCAAAGTGCACGTGTTGCTGTGGTGCTGCGAAACGCAGGCCACGTCTGGTTTAATTTTAGCACCGTCTATGGGTCCCTGAGCCCAAGCGAATGCCAGTGGGTTGAACGCCGAACACCTTGACACTACAAAACGGGGCGTATACGTAATACACACTGCATACTATTAGGCGCTCATAAAAAATGTAACGTTGCCGCATAAAAATAGATGCCAAACTCGAACCCTAAGCCAAAAACCCTGCTCGTCGCCGTTGTTGCGGCTTAGCGAAGAATAAACCATGCATAATGCCCCCAATGTTGTTGTCGCCACCATCAGCATTTGAGTTATAAATTTTTATATGATTTCAGCTCGACTTGTATCATAATTACGTAGCTGTGTGCCATTGTGTGAGTCTGCTGGGGTATAATAAAATGTACAACCTTTTATGGGCGCACTTAAAGTTTTGTGTTGTTAGTTGGAACTCCTTATCAGGCTCACTGGGAAAATGTACTGCCTGAATAGCTACTACAAGTACATAACGCACACAATATGTTAACCCATTTTCATGATTAAATTAAGGAGCAGCATAGCTTAAATACTTTTGCAAATTTAGTTTTTGCTCAAAGGAATACCAGTTCAGTAAAGTCCCTTGCTCGAATTCGCATGAATATAAGGAAGCAGGTTTACTTCAATGTGAAAAAGTGGCCAATCTTCCGATTTGTTTTTTTCTGCTGGTGCATCTAGCCTGCTCAAGTGTCTGCCTCTGTGATTGCGACTAACTGGAGGCACGTTTGGGCCAGAAGCCAAGGAAGCAGCGATTATTATTGGCAATCAAGTGGAGTGCCATCTTGCCTTTGGCTAGTTTGATCTCTGATTGCAGTCGGTGCGTCAGGAGAGAGTCGGGAAATTGCTCCGATGGGTGGCTTTCTGGCCAGGGGCATCGACAAGCTCACAGCTCACAAAGCAACCCGCTCCATAACATAAATGGAAATAAAATCAATCCGTCGGATAGTCCTCGTATCACAGGATGCCGTCTCTTCCGTCGATAAAAAGCTATGAATTTGGGTTAAATATTTTCACGTTCACTTCACTTCACTTGGCTGTCATCAGTGGGTAGTCACTCCCGCATTCGCATTACATCCAGCCAAAATCCAATCTACGTTTCAGTCATCCTCGTTCCTGCTACTTTTCCCCCACAGTTATGCAATGTACTCGCAACTCGCAACTCGTAACTCGTAATTCATAAGCCAGAAGCACAGCATGTAATATGCCTTCGATAACATTTTGCTCGTGTGACAAATTTTTGTCGCAACCAAAAAAAAAAATAAAAGGGTGGGAGGGAGAAAAAATCACGAAAAAATGCTGCAGAGTAACAGGAAAAGTTTGCCAGGAGGAAAGGACCTCGGCTGGCAAAAGGACAAAGTGTTAAATGTTGACATGTCATGACATTCCAAGGAGCAGCGGCCAAGCAGATGGGCCTTAGTCCACGGACAAGGGCTAACGAATCTGCAAAAGGACTCGGGAGACAGAGCGATGGGTCCTGGTCAGCTAAATCGGAAGCAGAGAGCGGGACAGAGAGGCAAAGTCGCTCCAACGAGCGGCTTACGTGCTGACAGCTGACAGGCAAACCAATGAACTACGATATGACATGGCCGCCGTTTCACCCCCGCTTCGCAGATCCTTTTCCTGGAATAACATCCACTGTGTGTGTGTGTTTGCTTGTGTGTGTGCGTGTGCTCTCTCTGTTTGTGTTTGTGCGGAACATCAACTAATATTGTCAACGCAACATTCGACTTGTTATCCCTTCCGCTCGCCTGACTTCCTCTTCTTAATTTCGTTTTGAACTCCTCGTCGTCAGCCATTTTGTCTGCCCTCTCGCTCTCCCTCTCCCTCTCGCTCTCTCTCTCTCTCTCTCTATTTCGCTGTCGCGCTGTCTCTGTCAGTTATTTGCAGAAATTTATTGAAATTGTTTGTCAAATTCCGTTTACTTGTTTTTCGCATTTTGCCAAAAATTTCCTTTTTTGCCAGCACCAAATGATGACAAGGACAAACAGACTTCCGTCGATGTCCTCTTGCGCCATTTTCTTCTCTCTATCTTCATCTGCTTCGCTTTTTTCTTAACTGTGTGTGTGCGTGTGTGTGTGAGTGTGCGTGTGTGTGTGTGTGTTTGGCAGTTAATCTAAGAAGTCGAAGTTGCTATAGGGCCGCTTGGTGGCATATCAACTATAAGTTGGTCCTTGCCTCGCGAGCCCCCATCCAGCCATTATATTTTTTATAAGTTGGCGCTATAAAATGTTGCCATTTCCCATATGCACGCTGCTCGGTTTGTTTTTGCATGCAATTCGCGCATATAGAGAGTAGGGCAGGAAGTCCCTTTCTCCTCATCGATTTAGGAGCGAAATAAATAGGGCACAAGCATGTATATAAATATATTCAAGAAGCGATCCAAGATTTTATTGATGTTGCTTGAATTTGAATGACATTGTAAAATTATACGCAAATGTATGCAGCCACCGAAAAAAAAGACAAGTATTCCATGCGACTTGTTCTGCATAAAAGAGGAGATATGACGGAAAGAAGAGAGAATTTCGTGTTCCAAAAACTTTTATGTGCATATCTATTACAACTTCTGGGTTATGTATGTGCGGCATATTGGGAAACTGTCTTAAACAAACAGATGCATGGGTACATATTTACCCATACGAGCAGCGTATGTCTATGCATAAACCATAATCAAATTGGCCTGGAAGTGGACGTTTAGTGGATGCTTCTAAGCCCATTCGAATCATAACTGAGCCATGAAAATGTAAATATATGAGTTGTGTCATTTCGGTGACTGTAAAAATGATTGACACGAAGTCTTGCCCTTGAGCAAGCATTAAATAAAGTTATATTACAAATGCCGAATACAAAAATTCATTTTAATAAACTTAAAACATGCACTTAAAAACATAGAATGTGTTTGTCATGGTGTCATGTTTCTTGTATTTATATAAACGAGTGTCAACTATTTCCTAAATATTTTAAGCACACTTGTTCTCTTAAAATGATTGCCACTTTGCAGATTTGCTACTTTCTACTCTGCAAAATTCCGGAATTAGTGTCTTGATGGTGTCATGTTTTTTTCAACCCTTTAAGCCCACTCTCAGGAATGCTTTCTCCTCTGTTCCTCGCAGAGGAGGGCTGTATGAAAATTGCACGATAATACGGCACCGAGAACACTCATCTAAATATAGGCTATGGCATAATAGGCTCAAGACGCTTTCATTCAACACTTTTTAGGCAGCAGCATGAAATGGCGCCAGCATGAAAGCCATTCACTCACACACAGGCAAAAAGTGGAACTGGAATGAATGGGCCAAAGGAGCAGGGGAGCAGCGGGAGCAGGGGGAGCAAGGGGAGCAGAAGGAGCCAAAGGACCAAAAGGAGTAATCGAGACACGCACGAAAGACAAAGGCCAAGAGCAGCAAGAAAAAAAAGGCGAATAAAAATGAAACGAACCCCTTTTCAAATTTCCAACGGATTTTCTTTGTTTTTTTCCCACTGCCGGACAAAAGGTGGCTGCGAGTTTTCATTTAGACGAATATTCCGGCCAGGTGGGTGGCTGGCTAACTGAAAGCCCTGAAACTCACGAAACAACTGAAAAAGTATTGTGTGGCAAAAATAAAAATGTCAATTTGCCAAATGTCGGCGAGCGGAAGTTCATGCTCCCAGCTCAGGTAGATGGGTCTCCCAACCTGAACGAACTTCAAAGCCGGAGTCCAGAGTGGTGTCAGCATTACCACAGCAACCACCACCAGCAGGGCAAAGTAATTTCCGAAATATCGTACTCAGATGC